GCTGCACCCTGCTCTGAGGTGTCCCTGGGAGTCAGGGGCACTGAAAACTCCCTTTTAGGAGGAGGATGCAGCGGGCTGCCATAATATGAAGTAGGAATTCAACTTACTATGACAAAAGTACACCTGGATGAAGCCAAGGGCCTGCCAGAGGTAAACGCGAGGCTTAAGGAGTCTTGGTAATGTTTCACTCTTGATTGTTAACCGTTTCTTGCTCTGAGTTTCTTGCCTGCTATTGTAGCTTTTTCATTAAATTCCTTTTCTAAGAACAGTGTATTGATCATGTATTGGGCATTGCTGTGGAATGTCATTCTGTATGCTGTGGATGTGTGTTGTTCCGATTGGGTGATAAATAAAATGCTGACTGGCCAGTAGCCAGGCAGGAAGAATAGGCGGGATAAGCAGACGAGGATAATTCTGGGAAGAGGAAGGCAGAGTCAGGAGTCGCCAGCCAGACACAGAGGAAGCAAGATGACAAGGTAGAACTGAGAAAAGGTACCAAGCCATGTGGCTAAACATAGATAAGAATTATGGCTTAAATTAAATATAAGAGTTAGTCAGTAATAAGCCTGAGCTAATGGCCATACAATTCATAATTAAAATAAACCTTTGTGTGTTTATTTGAGGCTGAGAGGCTGCGGGACCAGGCAGGACACAGAAAAACTTCCAATTACTGGGCATCATTTCCTCCTCTACTAAAGAAATATTTAGATAACTTTCTGTGCAGTAACACAGCCAGGATCCCTAATTTCAAGCCTCCCTGTAATTATCATCATTAACATCATCCAGCCAGGACCATCCCTGGATGGACAAAAGTATCTTATCAGAGATACTTCTGTACTCTCTAATACAGACTTAAGCATCCTGACTATCTGTTTGAGAAGGCCTGGCAGATGTGCCAATTAAGCTTAACTTTCTCCCTTTCCAAAACCTTATCTCTAGTTTTAGATCTAGCTTTAACTATTAACTCAGACCTAAAGGGTTTCTACTTACAGGTACATCAAGCTGTCTCAGGCTGCCCAGCCACCAAGTACATTCCCCACCCTGACAGAAAACCACAGTAGCCAAGATAGCGTGGACAGACAAGGGGCCAAAGGGAAGTAAAGTGGTTTTGTTTTCACTCATCACTCATAGAATCCTAACACTTCAACTAACCACTTCTAAGAATGTAGCTGAACACATAAAATCCCCCTTGCTAAGATATTAACTGAATTTAGCCCTCAGTGGATTCTATTCCCTATTAGTCACCTCCCTTTTGGGTTGCAGATGATGGCTGGTAATTACTGCTCTTTTGTGTGGATCTTATTGCCCCTCCTTTTGACCCTGAGGGAATTCAAGCCTGGTGACCTTGCCTTAGCCAGAGCATTGATATTGCATGGGTGTATAAGTGTAAACCTAAGAGACTCGAGGGGACGAGACAGAGAAGAAAAAAGAGGATGGAAGAACTAGATTACTAGAACTAGAGGGATGAGATGGAAGATGAGGAAGGGCCAGATGGGGAAGAATATGATGAGAAAGAAGGAGATGGGAGAGGAGCTGAGATGGGAAGGAACTGGATGGATGAGAACCTAGATGGGGCAGAACTAAGATGGGAGAATTGAGATAGAACTTAGAGGGGACGGCAGATAAACGTAGAGAGGAATCAGGCAAGAAAGGAGCTAGGCATGAGAGCAGAATAGGAGCTGTGTAGAGAGAATGAAGTAAAGAGTTTCATGTATGTAGATTTCTTAGAGAATCCCTCAGATTTATTCGCCGCCAGTAGCATCTCTTCTGGAACTCTGGGGAAAGGTATTGAGGTGCTGGACCCCAACAGCATTCAATAAGAGAAAACTTGCGAAGTAAATCAGGTTTGTTCCATGGAGTGAATGGGCACTTTTCTTGGCCCAAGAAATTTTGTGTCTGTTCAGAATTTTCATTCTTGTGTCACAGCCCCTAGGGGACCAGGAAGAAGGCCAACAGAGCTTTAAGATGTTCCCTCAGAACTTGGACTTGCTCCCTGGTTCTGTGAAACAGAAAGCCAGGCCTGCTCCAGCCCTCCAAATGCAATTCCCAGACTCCAGCAAGGGCACAGGTACCTGAGCAGGCTCAGGTGCCCAGGCTAGCTTCTGAAGGCAGATACACAAATTCCAAAGTCAGCATGCCATGGACAAAAGGTCTCCCTGGTGGGAAATACTGTAGTTGGTTTTTTTTTTTTTTTAATTTGTTTGTTTTTTTTCCTCCTTTACTCTTTTAGGGACCCGCCACCCAGCTCCCAAATAAATCACATGGAGTCTTATTCTTTCTTATGAATGCCCAGCCTTAGCCTGGCTTGTTCCTAGGCAATTTTTCTTAAGTTATCCCATCTGCCTCGTGCCTCTGGGCTTTTGCGTTTTTCTATTCTATATACCTTTCTTTCCTTCGACTCCATGGCTGGCTGTGTGGCTGGATGGTTATCCCCTTGCATCCTCCTCTCCTCCTTTTCTCATTCCTTGATCTTTTCTTCCCAGATTTCTGCTCTTATTTATTCCCTCTGCCTGGCAGCCCACCTACCCTTTATCCTGCCTAGATATTGGCCATTCAGCTCTTTATTAGACCAATCAGGTGCTTTAGAGAGACAGAGTAACTAACACAGCTTCACAGAATTAAGCAAATGTAACATAAAAGAATGCAACACATTTTTGCATCATTATAGATCTGTTCCACAGTATAAACAAATGTAACACATCTAAAATAATATTCCACAACAGAGGTTCATTTGCTTTAGTTTTCTTAACATTTTTTTGAGATTTTATTTATTTTTTTATTTATTTTTATGTGTATGAGTGTTTGCCTGAATATCTGTGCACTGTGTGTGTGCTGTGCCCAAAGACACCAGAAGAGGGTGTTGGATGCCCTGGGATTGAAATTACAGTTGTGAACTGCCATGTGGTTTCTGGGAGTTGATCTTGGTCCTCTGCAAGAGCAGCCAGTGCTCCTAATGGCTGAGCCATCTTTCCAGCCCCTTATTTTCTTTAATTATGTGAGGGGGGACAGGGGGGTTGTCAATGTGTGGGTATGTGCATGTGAGTGCAGGTGTCCACAGAGGCCAGAGGCATTGACTTCTTCTGAACCTGAGTTACAGGGAGTTGGGAGCCACCTCATGTAAGCGCTAGAAACAGAATTTGGGTCCTGGGTGAGAGCAGTGTGCTCTCTGAACTGCTGCACCCTCTCTCTCTAATAAGGAGCTGAACAGCCAATGGCAAGGCAGGAAAGGGTAGGCGGGGCTGGCAGGCAGAGAGAATAAAGAGGAGAAATCTGAGAGGATCAGTCACTGAGAAGAGAAGGAGAGGAGGACATCAGGGTCCAACCACCCAGCTACACAGCCAGTCATGGAGTAGGAAGTAAAGAAAGGGACACAGAATAGAGAAGTTAAAAGCCTAGAGACAAAAGGTAAACGGGGTAATTTAAGTTAAAAAAAAAAATAAACTGGCTGGGTGGTGGTTGCACACGCCTTTAATTCCAGCACTTGGGAGGCAGAGGCAGGCGGATCTCTGTGAGTTCGAGGCCAGCCTGGTCTACAGAGTGAGATCCAGGACAGGTTCCAAAGCTACACAGAGAAACCCTGTCTCAAAAAACAAAAAACAAACAAAACAAAACAAAATACAAAAAGAAAAGCTGGCAAGAAACAAACCAAGCTAAGGCTGGGCATTTACAAGTAATAATAAGGCTCCGAGTGTGTATTTATTTGGGTCGCAGGGTGGTGGGCCCCCCAGAGAGTCAAAGGGTTAAACAACAACAACAACAACTCTCAAGTAATTTTAATAACCAACCTTTCCCCATGACTGTTTTTTCTCTCTCTCTCTCTTTTCTTTCTTCCTTTCTTTCTTTTCTTTTCTTTTTTTTTTTTTTTTTTTTTTTTTTTTTTTGCATTTGGAAGGATTGAGATGAGGGAGAGGGATGAAGGGTGAATTCATGTCTCCATCTTCTACA